ATTATTTTGTATAATTATGGTAATCATCCACAAACACTTTTACATTCATTGTTCATTTATTAGATAAATGTTCATCGAGGATCTACCAAGTGCCAGGCACTGTTGCAGGCACCTGCAGATACACTTGTGAGCAAAGGAGACCAGGTCAGGGACTCCCAGGGTTCACAGAGGTGTTAAGAAGTAGTTCACCATCAAATAAACCCAAGCGGTGCAGGGTTTTGGGACACTGACGCCAGTTAGATGCCCTGCCCTGAGACCGGAGCATTGGTGAAATTTATCAGGAGTGGATTGCTAGGGTGACCTGGGTTAGATGCTATCTGCAAGTCACAGCTTAGGACTTCCAGGGGTCACACCGCCCCGCGGCTGTGGGCTTCTCTCCGAGCAGGGAAGGAGGAAATGCTGAACCAGCGCGACTACGAATCGGCCTCGTTGCAGGAGGTGCGGATGCTGCTGCGGCGCCACGAGGCCTTTGAGAGCGACCTGGCGGCACACCAGGACCGAGTGGAGCACATCGCCGCTCTGGCCCAGGAGCTCAAGTAGGCTTGCTCCGTTGCTGGACCCGGTGACACACGCCCCCAATCGGCCCCGCCCGGGTGTCTGAGAGCTTAAGTAGGCGTGGCACATTGCTGGTCAGCCCCCGGGACCCCCCCCCCCCCGCTGGCCCCGCCCCAACAGTTCCTAGTCCCGCCCTGCTCCTAAGGCACACCGCGTCTGGCTTTCTCCGCTGTGGCTCAGTAACGCTCCCTCGGTGCCCATGTCCTTCCTAGTTCCATCCCCATTGGCTCCATCCTCCTCCCGTGGTCCCGCCCCAATCTCCCGACCCACCGGACGGCACTGGTCCATCCCCTAACCTGCAGCCTCAAGCCCCATCATCTCTGAACTCACCACCTCCTCCTGTAACACAGCCCCCTTATCACATAATCCGGCGTTTGAAGCTCCAGACCCCGTTTTTCCTTCCATGCTTTTTCTGAGGGCTGGAGCTAAGGCTCCCCACTTACCCCAGGAACATGCCAGGCTCCCTCCCCTCTAGAAAAGGCTGCCCTACCCCCACTTGTCCTGGCTCCATTGCGCCCCAAACACCAGTTGTGGCCTAAATTTCAGCCCGAGGTGAGCAGTCGGAATGACGGCTGGGCCGGACTCCGGCCTCACACTTGTCCCGGTTCCCGCCCCCAGTGAACTAGACTACCATGAAGCGGCTTCAGTGAACAGCCGCTGCCAGGCCATCTGCGACCAGTGGGATAACCTAGGCACGCTGACCCAGAAGAGGCGGGACGCGCTAGAGGTGGGGCTGGGGACCCGGGAGCTAGGGGTGGGAGGCAAGAACCGCAGCTACATGGGCCACTGACCCACCCTCCCCGCGACCCCCAGCGGATGGAGAAGCTCCTGGAGACGATTGATCAACTGCAGCTCGAGTTCGCTCGGCGGGCAGCGCCTTTTAACAACTGGTTGGACGGCGCCGTGGAGGACCTGCAGGATGTGTGGCTGGTGCACTCGGTGGAGGAGACCCAGGTGGGCGCCGGCCCAGACAGCCCCTGGCCCAGCCTGGGCTCTGGCTGAGGGGCACCTGGACGGGATGAGGAAGCCCAGCCACTCTGGGGTTCCTGGAAAGTAGAGGGAGGAGGAATACTCCAGACCTCGGACCTGCCTGGGACCTGTTGCCCTTTGTTGCCTGCCAGAGGTGGGGAGCACTGGCTGATCCTACCTGCCTGTTGCCCCCAGAGCCTGCTGACAGCCCACGAACAGTTCAAGTCAACTTTGCCTGAGGCTGACCGAGAACGAGGTGCCATCTTGGGCATACAAGGGGAGATCCAGAAGATCTGCCAAACATACGGGCTTCGGCTCAGCACCACTAACCCCTACATCAGCCTTGGCCCGCAGGACATCAACACCAAGTGGGACATGGTCAGTGCTGCCCATGGCCTCTGACTCCTCCCTCTCCATTCTAACTACACCAACAGCTCATGATATGGGTGTCTCCATGTGGCATTGCTTAAACACTTTGCCTGTCTTGGCCTCATCTTAAAATGGCTACAAAAGCAGTATTTTCCTATCCGGACTGATGTGTGTGACCACCTATCCAATACCTTCTGTGTTCACTTGTATATGATGTCATCAGTCCCAATTTACAGATAAAGACTCAGACCTAGAGACGTTGAGTTGTTGTTGTTAAGTGCCGTCGAGTCGGTTTCGACCCATAGGGAAGAGAGATTGAGAGGCATGCTTAAATTCACATAGCTCAGACAAACTGGCTCAGGGCAGCAGGAATAGAGGTTTGAGGGGTAGTCCCCAGAGCTGTCCCTGACATAGTCACCTCCTTCCCAGGTCCGAAAGCTGGTGCCCAGTCGTGACCAGACGCTGCAGGAAGAGCTAGCACGGCAGCAGATGAATGAGAGGCTCCGGCGCCAGTTTGCAGTCCAGGCCAATGCTATTGGGCCTTGGATCCAGGGGAAGGTGGAGGTAAGGGGCTTGGATGGTGAGCCCAACCTGGCTGAGTGGGACTGGTCCCCAGAGAGTTGGGAGCCCTCATCCTGCACAGGGCACCACAGCAGGAGGTAGGGCAGCTGGTGGCAAGGCTGGAGGGCGGGAGCTGCCTATGCCTCAGGCTGCTAGGTCCCTGTTGCAGCTTGGATCCCCCTGCAGGAGGTGGGGCGGCTGGCAGCCGGGATGGTGGGCTCTCTGGAGGAGCAGATGGCTGGGTTGCGGCAGCAGGAACTGAACATCATCAACTACAAGAGCAACATTGACCGGCTGGAAGGTGACCACCAGCTGCTACAGGAGAGCCTTGTGTTCGACAACAAGCACACAGTCTATAGCATGGAGGTAGGGTCACCCCATTCAGGAGTGGAGAGGGGACACTGGCTGGGGGGGAACCTGGGGCCATCTCTGCTGGGAAGAGCTTGCCTGCTTTGAGAGGGTCCCTAATTCGCCTCGCCCAGAAATTACTGAGACCCAGCAAGAGGAAGGAAGCCAGTAGGAACGATGAGTTACAGAACATGTGAAGCCAAGGCAGAAGGGCTACTGGAGATCACTCAGTAGACCCTCCAAAGGCCAGGCGGGGGCAAGGGGGAGGATGTGCTCAGGAGCACAGGGCGGCTTGGAAGTGGGGCTGGAGCGAGTGGCCACCCACTGACAGGCTGCTCCTGTCTCGCAGCATATCCGTGTGGGCTGGGAGCAGCTGCTCACCTCCATCGCCCGCACTATCAATGAGGTGGAGAACCAGGTACTGACCCGAGACGCCAAGGGCCTGAGTCAGGAGCAGCTCCATGAGTTCCGGGCCTCCTTCAACCACTTTGACCGGGTCAGCAGGGACCAAGCCCCATGGGGTACCGTGCTTGGGGGCTAGTGAGGCTCGGGGACTGGGCTTGACACACTGTCATCAACTGCAGAAGCGGAATGGGATGATGGAGCCGGATGACTTCCGAGCTTGCCTCATCTCCATGGGCTACGATTTGGTGAGTGCCCCTGACCTGCCTTCACTTATCACCTGTGTGTGTCTTCCCCCGTCACATCCATAATCTCACTTCATCCTCATTACACCCAAGGGGGTGAAAAGCATCCTGTTGTACACAGAGGCTATCACATGAACTTACTCAAAGGCACAGAGCTAGGATTTGGGTTGAGCTCTTTGTGACATCAAAGCCACAGCTTGGACCATTTAAATACAGGGAGAGGAGGTCTGTGTAGTCCAAGATTTAAAAAACAAAACAAAAATCAGAACCAGCGAGCAGCAGGGGGCTCTGCTGTGACAGGAAGACAAAGCTAAGGCAGCAGGAGACCATCTTTGGAAGAATGAAGCACACATGATGGGTGGTACAAGGCAAGGCTGACTGACCGGCCCTGGGAGGGGGCCCTAGGAGGGGGGCCCTGGGAACTCTGCTGGTTTGAACATTCGTGGGCATGGTATTCGGCCTCTGTACCTACAGGGAGAAGCGGAGTTTGCCCGAATCATGACCATGGTGGATCCCAACACTACCGGGGTCGTGACCTTTCAGGCCTTCATTGACTTCATGACCCGTGAGACAGCTGAGACTGACACAACTGAGCAGGTGGTGGCCTCCTTCAAGATCCTGGCTGGTGACAAGGTGAGCCCCCGGTGGTGAGGGGGCAGGAAGGCAAGGGCAGGAGGTGGGTTCTCACCTAAGTGAGTGTATGTCTCTCCCCAGAGCTACATCACCTCAGAGGAGCTGCGGCGGGAACTCCCAGCAGAGCAGGCCGAGTACTGCATCCACCGCATGATGCCCTACAAGGGTCCCGGGGCCCCAGCAGGAGCCCTGGACTATGTGGCCTTCTCCAGTGCCCTCTATGGGGAGAGCGACCTCTGATATCCACTTCAAACATCTCAAAGCAAGGTGGAGAGGGTGGGCTTCCTTGGCAGGCCCCTCTTTTCCCTAGGAGCAGAGGCCTCAGAGCATGTGTTTCTGAGTAAAGACCACCCGGCCTTGGGTTGCTTTGTTTCTTTCTGGCTCCCAGACAGAACCAGCTGCCCCCTGGAAGTCTCCACTGTCTTCCCTTGCCCTCAGAGACTGAGCAGTCACACCATGTAAGGGAACCCGGGAAACCTCTTTATTGCTGTTAGAAGAGGATGCCTGAAACAGTTACTCCAGACGTGGGAGGGGACACTGTCCCCCAAGCCAGGGGACCAGGAAATGTCTAGCATACAGAGAAAAGAAGAGGCAGGAACTCAAATCCTTCTGAGGACAGAGCTGGGGCTGAGACCAGAATTCCTTACCCGAGTCCAGGGATCATGCCCCAGCTTCACCTGCCAAATATCATCCTTCACCCCAAGATCCTCCTCGCTACCATAATTCAGCAAAGGTGCGGTTGAGGGACTCTGGGTAGGGCGATGGAGGGAAAAAGGGGCTGTGCCCCAGAGCCCTCCGTTCGCCCCAAGGTACCCAGTGCCCATCCCTCAGCTGGCTGTGCCTCCTGGGGAGGGGCCTGGCCATGCCAGCCTGGCAGAGGCTGCTCTGGTCAGCACCAGGTCCTGAGCTGGTGGTGCCTCAGTCTATCACCGCCGAGCTGGCCATGGTGTTCACACCGCACGCCCCAGATCCACGATGTAGGTAGTAGTAGCCCTGGGAGAGAGGCAGGGTTGCTGAGAGCAGGACGAGGGCCAGGGGCCAAGGGGCAGGACAGGAGAGTGGAACCAGGGGCTGAGTGGGGGAGGCCTACCTCCTCGCCCCAATCACTGCCCCAGCTGTTCTTGATGGCCCAGAAAGGGACGTCGGACCCTAGGGAAGCAGTGTGAACAGTTAGGGGACCCCAAATCTCCTCACAGGCCCCAAGCACTTTGCACCCTTCAACTATGTGCCATGGGCCTACTGGGTGCCTGGCACTAGGAAAAGAGCAGAAAGCAAGACAGACCCCCCTACCAGCCTCCTAGAAACCTGACACAGGTATTGGTCCAGAACCTTACAGCCCAACCTTCCCAGTCCCAGTTGTCCCATCCAAAGGAAAAAGATGGTTCCAGCGTGGCCTATAGCCCAAGGTTGGGGTCATGACAGCAGTTTGACCCAGTCCCCCGATTTCCTCTCCAGAGGCCCTGAGGACGGACGGAGTGTTGCCTGTGGCCTGGACTGGTTGGGTAGAACTCACGGTTTCCATAGCCCACAAGCAGCACAGCATGGTCGATGAGCCACGGGCTGCAGAGGGGCCGGAGTGGGTGGGCAATCCCATGGCGGTAGAACTAGGGAGAAAATAAAGAGCAGGGAAACCGCTCTGAGGAGGAGAAGAAGGAAGCCATTAACAAGAGATGGGGCAGGGATAGCAGGGAAGGAGACTCACCTGCATGCCAAAGGCGTTGATAGCAACGGAGATAGGGCCGTTCTTGGCCAGCCAGGCTGCCAGCTCTGAATGGGAGGGGCAGCATAAGTGGGCACCTGGGCCCTGCACCCCGCCTGGTGCGCACCCCACCCCTCACTCACTGTGCTCGCTGCGGCTCAGTTCCACAGAATCATTGATGTAGACCTTGGCTTTCTCTGTAGAGAAGCTGCAGGCTTGCATGTGACCCTGGTAACTGTAGTCTTCCTCTGTCTCCAGCCCTCCTGGGGAGTGATGGGAGTGGGGTGTCAGTGAAGAAACGGTGAACTCAATTTACCATTCCCTAGTCTTCTCTGCTCTGGTAGCGTAGTGGTTATGAATCGGACTGCGAACCGCAAGGTCAGCAGTTCGAAACTACCAGCTGCTCAGTGGGAGAAAGATGAGACTTTCTGCTCCTGTAAAGATTTACAGCCTTGGAAACTCTGTTCAGGGTCGCTATGGGTCGGAACCGACTCAACGGCACTTAACAACAACAACAACAGTCTTCTCTGAGCCCGGTGCTATGCTAAACCCCTTGCAAACATGGCCTCGTGTTCCTTGGCACTCCTCAAAGGTCTCAATCTAGAGATGAGACACCTGAGACTCGGGGGAGCTTTAACTAGCAAGAAAAAAGTGGCAAGGATGGCATTTGACTCCCAGTATCTGGCTGAGAACTTGGCACAGGGTTCCTGTGTGTCTCCTGACGTTGGCTTGCTTGTCCCCACCTAACCATCTGCTCCCTATCCAGCCCGGACCATTTCCAGGATCCTGGACCAGTCCCTGCGCAGCCACTTCTGTCCTTCACTCTTTGGACCTTCTGCCATGGCAGCCCACCTCAGAACTGGATGGCCAACTGGGGTCCGTCGCTCTCCTTGGGGGAGATGTGTTCATTACCTGGTGTTGCAGCAATCTACAAACACAGGCCTCCAAGCAGCAGAAACACTAACAGTCCCTGTTCGCCTACTGTGTTTCCAAAACCTGTTTCCTCACTTGATACTACAAGGGCGCTATGCAGAGCCCCAATTCACAGATGATGCAACTGAGGCTCAGAGTGGCCCAAGGTCTTTAGCCACTAAGGGCCAGTATGAAGTCTTGGTCCCAGCTCTGTGTGACTCCCCAGCTCAGGTCTCTCTCCCTCCAAATTAATCCTGCAGCGGGAGAACCAGCTCCCCGCCCACCCCAACAGTGCTTACCCAGGGTCATTATGGCCGAGTAGGCAGTGGAGGGCACTCCGCCCATGCAGGCCTTGTCCACCTTGTCACAGTCCAAGAGCTCTAGGAGACAGAAGGCTGGTCGCAAGGAGCCCTCTGGAGGGGCTGGGCTGGGGATGGGGGCAGAATGGGACGCTCACCCTGCTCAGAGAGGGAGAGCAGGGTGCCCTGGTTCAGGAACCACTGGCCCTCCACATTGCCGGTCACGGAGAAGGCCCAGCAGGAACCACACATGCCCTGCAAGAGACAGCAGGTTCAGGGCCCGACCCCTTCCTTTCCAAGCCCAGGGCAGTGCTCACTTCCCACCTGCATCTCCAAGGACCAACCTGGTCCTTGACTTTGGTGACAGCTCCCTTTGTCCTCCAGTCCCAGTCAGGAGGTGGAGGGTCCTTGGGGATCTTGGCCAGGCGCATCTTCTTGCCAGGGTCTTCTCTTAGGAGGGGATTCAGGTAGATGGTACGGAACTCCTCCTCTGCAGATGAAGGTGGGAAGGGGCGGAGGGGAGTCTCCAGGAGGGGTCTAGAGAGCAGGTCCTGTGGTTTCCAGGACTGTGAGGACTCTGGCCACCACCCCTACCTGTGAGGTCGCTGAACTTGGTGACCCCATACTGAGCTGTGCCCTGGTCCAGGGCCTGAATCTTCTGCGCTCGCATCATGTTATTGGCGAAGACAGACATGCGCCACTTGGTTTCTGAGGACAAGGAGCATGGGAGAAGGGGCTGGGACTCCAGGCAGATCATCAAAGGGAAAGTGCTTGGGATCCCTAGGTAGGCGTTTCCCTGGGGAGTACATGGGCTCTGAATCAAGCCTGAAGCTCTTTTCAAGCATGCCCAAACCTTGGGGTGAGGTAGGAGGGCTAGATTAGCAAGGAATGGAGTGGGAGGTATGGTCAGCTTTTTGAGACATGAAAGTAGTAACTAAGGTGGGTGCCAAAGGGCTTCATCAGACAGGGAAAGGCTGAGGTGCTGGGAACCAGGGGATCACCCATGAGAAAAGCTGTCCTCCACCTCATCCCTCTGCCCAGAATATGAAAACTCAATGATTTCCAATTAGGAAGGTCACAAGAAAAGAGATGCTTGGAGTGGTTGGCTGGTCATGGGGACTGTACAAGGATTCAGGGACTTAGGGGTACCTGAAAGGCCTCTCATACCTTCCTATCCCCTAGCACCGAGTGTCAAGCTGAGGGGATGGCCCCTATCTATCTGACTGTGATAGGGCCAGCCAAGGCTGGATCCTCACCTTCTTTCGTCTCATAAGTCCGATTATAGGTGGTGACAAAGTTCTTGAAGATTGAAGCCATCTTCTCAGAAAAGTTCTGAAAAGGCCAAAGAGTCCTTAGGAGTCCCCCTCAGCCTGCGCTGGAGCCCCAACTCCAGGGTGGGAAACGGGATGAGGCAGCTGCCCGCTTCCCATACAGACACAGGCTCCTCACCTTGGGCAGGAGATCCTTGTTCATCAGTGGGAGGACCCAATTCAGGGTTTCATTGGTGTTGTCTAGATGGGGGTGGAAGGGAAGAGAATCAAGGCTGAGCCTAAAGGAGGCCTGGCCCCCACTATCCCAACATCCTTGGGCTATCCCACTACCTGCAACCTTGGTATCCACTGGGCCACAGTCCCGCCTGAGCAGCATGTGTTTGCCTAGCTCATCAAGGACCTCGAAACTGCAGAGCTACAGGGAGAGAAGGTGGCCAGTTTGGGGTCTGGGTAAAATGGTGCCCCTCCCATGAAGACTCCCACTAGACAACCTCTCCCTATAGTGAAGCCCAGGGGGCCTGGCCCATCTGATAGCCACCCTCCTTCCCTCCCCTGGAGCACCTTGACCTCTGTCTTCCAAAGGAAGCTGTCATGATGAGGCAATGCTGACCAGACCCGCAACCAACGGTGGGTGGTACGATTCAGTCTGGAACAAGGAATCCGGGAGCCCAGTACTCACCAGGGTTTTCTTGGACAGAGGGAGCTGACACACAGTAGGGTCGTTGCAGGGTGGCTCCTCCAGTGTCGCTTCCAAGGAGTACAGTGACCCCCGGCCCGCCTGGATGGAGGGGTGGGTGACGTGGGGTGGGAATAGCCCCGACTTCCCTGGTCCCCTACTCACTTTCAGAATCGCTCCGGATCCCCAAGTCAAGGCTAGCGTCCCCTCCCAGATTCCCAATGACCCAGCCCGGGGCAGCTCACCCGGCGGACACGCCCGCGGATGGCCCCCAGTGTGGCCCGGTTCTCCGCCGCCCGGCCGCGGTTGTACATCCTCAGCGCGAAGCGGCCCGGTTTCAGCAGCTCCGAGGTCGGCGGCTCCCAGACCGGCGCGGGGGCGGCGGCGGCATCGCCCAGTAGCAGCCCCAGTAGTGACAGCAGCTGCAACCAGGGCGCCATGGCTAGGGCGAAGCGGCGGCCGGGACCCACGGACCGACAGACGCACGGTCCAACCGACGGGGCGGGGCGCCCCGCGCGGCTTGTGTCCCTTCCCCAGCAAATGGGCACCGTCATAGGGCGCCTGCGCGTTCGCGTGTTTATCGGAGGCACGTGGGGCAAGACGCGTGGGCACGGGCCTGTAGCGAGCTACAGTCTCCAAGTCTAAATCCCCGGGCTGCCACCGGGCTGCTGTTTTGCATCTTCTTGCCACTCCAGTCTGCGGACAGATGGCTTAATTAACCCCACCTTGGACTAACCGCGTATGCCTTGGAGCTGTGCTTTGGGGAGCAGACAGGGCGTTGGCCTGAGAAAAAAAATAATAAACATTTATTGCATGCTTATTATATATTAGCCATTACCTGCCTACTTCCATCTCCCTTTAATCATGGTAGCAACCCCATGAAATAGGTGATGTTATCCCATCTTAGAGTTGAGTAAACTGAGCCTTGTTGCAAGGTGCAGTCCAGCTCTGACTCATAGCAACCACAGGCACAGCAGAATGAAAGCTGTCTGTTTCTGCACCATCCTCACAATTGTTCAATTTGAGCTCATTATTGCTGCCACTGTGTCAATCCATCTCATTAAAGGTCTTCCTTTTTTCCGATGACCTTCTATTTTATTATGCATAGTGTCCTTCTTCAGGTCCCTCAATAACTTGTCCAAACTATGCAAGACACAGTCTTACCATCCTTGCTCCAACGAACTTTATGGGTGTACTACTTCTAAAACAGATTTGTTTTGGAATTTGCTCTTCTGGCAATCCATGGTACTTTCACTATTCTTTGTCAATACCATGATTCAAATGCATCAATTATTATGCATTCTTCCTTATACATTATCCAGCTTTCACATGCATATGAGGCAATTGAAAACACCATGGTTTGGATCAGGTACACCTTAAATCTCAAAGTGATATCTTCGCTCTATAACACTTTAAAAGGAGCTCTGGTAGTGTTATGGTTATAAACTGGGCTGCTAACCTCAGAGTCAGCAGTTCGAAACTACCAGCTGTTCTGCGGGAGAAAGATGAGGCTTTCTGTGCCTGCAAAGATTTACAGCCTCGGAAACTCTATACCGGGTCACTATGAGTTGGAACCGACTCCATGGCACATAACAACAACAACAAAACACTTTCAAGAGGACTTTTGCAGCAGATTTGCCTAAGGCAATACTTGGATTGATTTTTAAAAAAAAATGTTTATATTGTGAATTATGCGATAGTTTACATGGGAGAACATTAGTTTTACATTCATCTTATCGTATATAATTTCATTGCCATGGTTACAACCCCCTCCCATGTATCATCAACCAACCAAAGGGTATACCCTGCAAGCCTGTCCCCGGTCGTCAGCAAACAGCCCCTCTCCCTCTCTGGGTCTAAAGTCCCCAGCTGCTCCATCTGTCTACATTATCATCTCTGGCTCCATTTCTGGCATCACTGCTTCTCTGGGTAAGGTCCCACTCTCTGCTCTTCTCCCTTGATGGTCCCAGGGACCTCTGCTCCTAGACTGCAAAGTTAATCACTCCTCTCTTTGCTACAAAACGTCTACCTTTACATTTCCAACCCTCACAATCAGTCCTGATAACAATTATTCACTATTGTATCACAAGAGACCTATCTGCATTTCCTTTCATCAGCCCCACCCAGACAGATTGGATACTGCTCAGTGGAGATTCTACCTTCCTCCATGCCCTCTGGATTTAGGTTCCCTCTTGAAAGCTTGCAAGCCAGTCACTTCTTGCCTTTGTAGTCTCTCTACTTTGAGTAGCCAATGTCCAACTTGCGCATCCCTGTCTACTCTGTGTGTGGAGGGGGTGGGAATGATCCTTGCCGTAAAGATTAGTTCCCTCTTTTGAGCTACTGCATCCATAGGTGTAGATCAAGTTCATCAAATTATATCAGATTACTCTTTTTTTCCTCTTCTCTCTTCTTTTAGTTGCGCTCTGATCATCCAGTCATTGAAGCCAGGTCAAGTGGTTATTATCTGCAAGTGTGGGTGTTCTTGTGCATATGCCCTCTCTTTTTATCAGCTGGATGCTTCACTCTCCACTCTAATCCTCTGTGGCTATGTCACTGACTCTGGGCCCAAGAGTCCCCAGGTCTTGCCACACTGCTGGTCAACCAAGTCTCCACCTGGGTTCACAGGAGTCTATTGAAAGTTGTAGGGCTTAGCTCGCAGCTTCATTGCTGTTTTTCCCTCACTTCCCCTTATAGGTGATGAACATGGTCACCAATCAGAGCATGTATTCCCCATTGAGTCTTAGTCTTGGAAGGAGGTTTGCTCTGAGAGGACCCGACCACTTCACTTGATGTCTCCTAGGCGAGCCACTTGTTTGTTCTTGTAGTAATCAGTCGGTCTGCCTATATTGTTTTGTATTTTTCCTGTTGGTCTTTCTTTCAAGAAGTATCTTATGTTCTTCTGGCCAGTTTTGTTTTCTTTACAATGAGTTGTAATCCAGACTGAAGGTCGTATGCTTTGATCATCATCATCAGTACTTCAAGTACTCTTTGCTTTTTTTTAACAAGCAAAGTTGTGTCATCTGCCTGTCACAGGTTGCTAATGAGCCTTCTTTCAATCCTGATGCCACATTCGTCTTCATGGAATCCAGATTCTCTGATTATTTGTTTAGCATGCACATTGAATAAGTATGATGAAAGGATACAATCCTGGAGCACACCTTTCCTCATTTTAAACCATATAATATCTGTCCCCTTGTTCTGTATCACCAACTGGCTCTTGGTCTATATACAGATTACCCATGAGCACAATTAAGTGTCTGGAATTCCTATCCTTTGCATAGTTTGCTATGATCCACACAATCGAATGCTTTTACATAGTCAATAAAACACAAGTAAACATCTTTCTTGTATTCTCTACTTTCACCTAAGACCATCTGATGTCAGCAGTAGTGCCCTTCATTCCATGTCCTCTTCTAAATCTTACTTGAATTTCTGGCAGCTCATTGTTGATATGCTGCTACAACCATTTTTGCTGCAAAATTTTACTTGCATGTGATAATAATGATACTGTCAAATGATTTCCATATTCCATTGGGTCACTTCTCTTTGGAATGGGCACATATATGGATCTCTTCCTATTGGTTGTCCAGGTAACTGTAGTCCATATTTCTTGGCATAGACTAGTGAAGGCTTCCAGTGCTAGCTACATCCATGTGTTGAAACATCTCAATTGGTAGTGTGTCAGTTATCAGAGACTTGTTTTTAGCTAATGTCTCAGAACAGTTTGGTCTTCCTCCTTCAATACTATCAGTTCTTGATCATATGCTATCTCCCGAAATGGTTGAGTATAAACCAGTTCTTTCAGTTCAGTGATTGTGTGTTCCTTCCATCGTCCTTTGATGCTTCCTGCAGTGTTCAATATTTTACCCAACGAATCCTTCAATATTGCAAGTCAAGGTTTGAATTTCTTCTTCAGTTCTTTCAGGTGGAGAAATGTTGAGTATGTTCTTCCCTTTTGGTTTTCTTACTCCAGGTCTTTGCACATTCATAGTACTACTTTTTCTTCTCAAGCTGTCTTTTTGAAATTTTCTGTTCAGCTCTTTCTCCTCATCATTTTTTCCATTTGTTTTGCTACTTTACATTAAAGAACAAGTTTCAGAGTCTCTTCTGACATCCCCTTTTGGCCTTTTCTTTCTTTTCTGAATTTTAAATGGCCTTTTGCTTTCTTCATGTCTGGTCTTCTTGATGTCATCCATAACTCCTTCAGTCTTGTCATTAGTGTTCAGTGAGTCAAATCTGTTCTTGAGATGGTCTATAATAAATTCAGGTGGGATATACCCAAGGTTGTATTTTGGCTTCTGTGAACTTGTTTTAATTTTCTCCAGCTTCAGCCTGAACTTGCATATGAGTAATTGGTGGTCTGCTCCAGTAGGCCCCTGGCCTTGTTTTCGCTGATGATACTGAGCTTCTCTATCATATCTTTCCTCAGATGTAGACAATTTGATTCCTGTATATTTTATCTGGTGAAGTCCCCATGTATAGTCCCATTTATGTTGACAAAAAAAGGTATTTGCAGTTGACCGTTGCAAAGTTCTATCATGGGATCTCCATCATCATATCTATCAAGGAGACCATATTTTTCAACTACTGATCCCTCTTTTTTGTTTCCAATTTTCACATTCCAATCACCATTAATGACCAATGCATCTTAGTTACATACTTGAAGATCAATTTCAGACTGAAGAAATGACTAGAATTCTTCAATTTCTCCATCATTGTGTTTGGTGTTTGGTGTGGAAATTTGAATAATAGTTGTATTAACTGGTATTCCTTGTAGGCACATAGAGCGTTGTATTTCAAAATAGATCTTAAAATGCTCTTTCTGATGATGAATGTGGCGCCATTCTTCTTCAATTTGTCTTTCCCAGCATAGTAAACCATATGATTGTCAGAATCAAAACGGCCAATGCCAGTTCATTTCAGCTCATTAATGCATAGGATATTGATTTTTATGAATTCTGTTTCATTTTTGATGACTTCCAAATTTCTTAGACTCATACTTTGTACTTTCCATGTTCTGATTATCAATGGATGTTTACAGTTGTTTCTTCTCATTTTGAGTTGCATCCCATCAGCAAATAAAGGCCCTGAAAGTTTGCTCCATTCATGTTACTAAGGACGACTCTACTTTGAGGAAGCAACTTTTCCCTAGTTGTATTTTTTTTTTGCCACCAGAATTCTTTTTTTTTTTAATTTAAAAAA